AGAAGGAGGTTATATTGTTAATTCATTTGCTTTATTTAATATTCAAGTTCAATGTAGAATAACATGGTATCAACTAATGAAAACAACGTATTAATGATGATAATAACTTGACAGGAATACCAATTTAAGCTGAATACCTGATTTTAGTGGGATCTTATTTGTAAAGTCAGTATTAGTCATAATTAATAATTATTTGGGGTGTGACTACCCCCCCCCCACACACACACACACAAACACACTTTTTGAACTTTGTTACTGACATTTTTGTGTGTGAAATATACATGTATATACATATATTTTGCACCTTGCATATCAACAGTCGCAAAATGTATTGCCTCAGGTCGCTGGTCCTCCACGTGGCTACCTGGTATGCTGAATGTAATACCTCAGCCTAGTATGGTGGTTTCACCGAAACAGCTCATGAATGAGATCAGTACATTGGTGTGGGGGGGGGGGGGTGGGTAATACAAAAATATCAATAACTGATATCTTATATCTGTTAAATAGGTTTGCACCAGTTTCAATATACCTGACTAAAAGGTGTATAATGAATTGATATGCCCTATAAATGCATGTATATATATATATATTATAAAGAAGGACACTTTGCAGGATGAACGACATAATTGACACAATTGTATTGGGTTTTGTTTCAACAAGCAGAAATTTCTTCTCCAAGGGGGAAGGGGGTGGAGGGGTTACCCTGTTACCCTTTATATCATTTTTTGTGTGTGTGTGTATGTTGGGGTGTCTGTATAATGAGAAAGGACATAAATATGAAATAAATATGTATATATATATATAATAATAATATTCGGTTCTTGTATATAGCGCATATCACATGATCTATATATCACTATGTCTCCATGTCTTTATATAATTTGCCTATGAAATTACGAAATATCTTAAAAAACCATTCTCCTGTTTGTTCCAGGCAATCCAACTACCTATGATAAAGAACTTTCCCATGGTATTTAGTGAACTGTCTTGCAAAACGAGAGGGAACTTTTACGATTGCTACAAGGAATACACAGCTGACGGTATATGTCCGAACGGCGTACTGGCCAACGGTGTAGAGTGTTGTAAGTTATTTTCCTTAACCTTGTCAATCCCATGCCTATCTTATACCCCCTTCACGTACACGGATTTTCCTTACGAGTCCTTACGGATCGCCAACTCGTAGTCCATCGCAAGCATCCGTAAATAACTCGCTGGTATCCGTAAATAGCTCGTCACAACTCGCAACAACTCGCAGACACTCGTAAGGATCCGTGAAAGGAGAGGCAATTTTTTTGACATGTCAAAAATCTTCTTACGATTGTCGACGGATTTATTTGTCCGTAAATAACTCGTAAATAGGTCGTAACAATCCGTAAGTATCGTAAACCGCTCGCATCAACACTTTACCATTCGTTAACTGCTCGCAAGAATCCGTAAATGACTCGTAAAGACTTCTTTAACGATTTGTTTCGGTTGGTTTATGATTTGTTTACGGACTTTTTACGGATTACTTACGGATTATTTACGGATTATTATGAGTGCTTACGTGTTGTTTACGATTTTCATTCGGGTCGTGTTACAATGGCTTTACGGATTGTTACGAGCTATTGCGAGCACTTTACGTGTAGTAACGAGTACTTTACAAATATATACGTATACTTTAAGTATTCTTACGTATCGTTTACGTTTTGGGGAAAAGGTATAAAAGCTGCAAATTAGAATATTTCATTTTCATTTGTTATTTTTTGGTTAAAAATCGAAAGGACTCGTAAATACTCGTAACTATTCATAACAACACGTTAACAGGTCGTTACTAACACGTAAGTTGCTCGAAGTTATCCGTGACTACTCGTAACAAATCGTGGAATTATGCCGTAAGTATATCGTAGTAACTCGTAATAATCCGTAACAAACCGTAAATAGCTCGTAATAACTCGTAACAACTCTTAAATCGGTCGTAAAAGTGGCCAAATCGTAAGGATCCGTGATAGATCCGTGAATTTGTGCGATCCGTAAGGACTCGTAAGAAAAATCCGTGTATGTGAAGGGGGTATTAGGTGGTTTAACCCCTTCTGCAGAGGCGTAGAGTGAGTCTACCCAATGAGGGAATACGTGAACTATAGGGGCACTGGTATTAATCAGAAAATAAAAGGCGAATGTATAAAGCTACTGATTAGGCGGTGCGTGCGGGGAGTGTTCCGGGAGTCTTCATTCTCCGTCCCTTTCTTTCTTGTATCGCTTCTCTGAGGGAGGGGGAAGACATGTCCCTTTTAGTGCCCCCTCAAATGCCCCTAATCTATCTACGCCACGACCTTCTCGTGCCACCTATAATCAAATTGTTTGATCAAGTATCGTAACTTAACTCTAAAGAGTTAAGATTTCGAGATCAAATATTATTGATAAATTGAAATATTCCTTGAAATAAGCTTTTGAAATGAACCCGACGGTTTCTTTTCAGAAAAAAAAGATGTATATATGGCAATAAATACTCTTTCTCTACACAAATCATTCCAGATCGGCCGAATTTTTTAAAGGGACATACCGCCTAAGGCCGAAGGGGGTTATATTTTTAATGTTTACGTTGTTTTTACATTTGCTCTGTACATACATGTAAGATTTCATAAACTCAGATCATTGATGACGGAATAGATTTTTCCATAGTTGGGAAGTTTAGAAACATTTTTAGCAATAATTTCATTTAGGGTACATGTACGATTGACAATTTTCTTGAGGGAAAATAATTTTTTTTTTTTTTTTTTAAAGTTTGTTTTAATACAGAGCAAAAGGGATGGGATCTCGCAAAATACGCCATAGAGTTGCCAATTCGTATTTGATCGATTGATCGCAGCTTCACAAATTCATAACTTTCTTATTTTGTAGCAGAATTAGCTCAAACTTTCACTCACAGGTTTCTCTCGTTTTTTCCTTCTGATTCTTTTAAAAAGTAAGTTAACATCAGCGTGGACTCCCCCTTCAAAGACGAACGTCGTTTGAAATTTAACTTGGCCTTACATTCTACTAGGTCCACCTTTAACATGTTAAAGAGCAAAGTAATTTCATATAATAAATTACAGTTCCACCTCGAACCATGTTATGTTACACCTTTACGTCCATACATCTTACATACATTAAAAACGGATCATTTTAATTTATTTATTAATTTACCCATTTATTTTACATATTCAAGTATAAAAAACATGCAAAATACAAATAACGTACATTATAATAATAATAATAATCTTTTAAAGTCCACTCCAATTTTTTATTAAGTTAAACCGAAAATGTAAATTCTTTTTGCCCTATTGATCTTGAGCTCGGCAGCCACTGAGCAGCGCCAGATCGACGCTGCTCTATCCCCTTATTAGGGACTTTTAGAATGAGTGGACGATAACACGACGAACGCCGACTGATCATGCGTGTCAACGTACTTAACTGCCTATGTTGACTACAATTAGAAATCTTTTAGATTGCACTCGACGATATACATGCATGCATGAAGTAACATTATGAACATCACGGACAAAGAAAGAGGACAAAATATACAGTTCCTCATTCTACCCTCAACAAAAGAACATCCCTTCACTGCTATTACGTAAAAATGTGTAGAACAGGTGAATATGCATGTGACACCTGTTCTACACATCTTTACATAATAGCAGGGAAGGGATGTTTCTTTGTCCACCTGAGGAACTGTATATGTTGTGCGCACGAGGAATACTAGTACATTGCATATGTAAAGGTGCTATATAAATATCAATATGTATGTATGTATGTACTAGATTGAGGAAAATCAAGGTTGACGCATTCTCGATCGCCGACTGAGACGACGTAACGCATGCGCGGTGCCTTAAAATGACGTCACACGTTGCAGTCAAAGCTGTCAACGTGCAAATCTAAAAGTCCCTATTGTTGAACGCCAAACAGCGACTCCCGTCTTTTAACATCTTTTGGTTCGAACCCACGACCTCCCGGTTGTGAGGCGGACGCTCTACTGACTGAGCCAACACACTGGTATACAAAGAAGTACATACACGACACAAACATTAAAAAATGACACAGAAAAAAGTGATAGATATAGAGGGAAATAACGATTAAATAAACATGGTTAACCGGTATACAGATAAGGGAAAACAAAAACAAAAGTTGCTGTTCAGTCAGGGTTACTCCCAGAATAATTATATTGTCATGTTGTAAACATTCATGGGACCCGTATATAATATAGTAGTGGCTCGTCACGTCGCTTTCATATGGTAGTATCATGACTATGACTATCAAGTCATATTTCTTTTCTCTTTCTTTTTTCAAAAAGACACAACATTGAGGCCGTCCGTCATCGGGGCGCTGGCCTTCGCTGGTGTATCCTCCGTTTTCATCATCATTGCTGGGGCGTTCGGTATCCATTGGATGAGGCGCAAAGCAAAAATACCAACGTCAACCACCATGAGCCTCTCCGTGGGCGATCAAGGCGATGCTACAGCAAGTCAATCCCTTCACCCAAGTGCCTGAAACCCGAGGCATGCAAGGCGTCATTTCATTGCGTAATTACGTTACGCCATTACCTGCATCAGTCGAGTCGCCTTGTTCAATCGATTTGGCATGGCTTGCCATAAAATCGCAATGATAGTTGTTGAATATACATATACTTAATATTGTGTGTATTAAGAATGATGTGTATACTTTCTTTTTTAATCAACACTTTTATTCTGTAAAGTTCGTGGTGTTTTGCTCTAGAATAGCTTTCTCTTACTGATGGTTCCATGAAATCTCGGGAACCATTAGGAATAGGTCGTATTATTATTCAAAACAAATCAAAGTACATGAAATTGCTATGTACGTGCCCAAGTGCCTTTCTGCCAGGACAGAAAAAGCTGTGTTTGTATATATTATTTGCCTTTTTTCGCCCATTAGGTTTCATCGGGTTATGATACTTTGAAGTACTAGTGCATTAAACATTGCACTAAAAAATGCACATAAAATATAATTATGCACTTGTTGTCAAGTCAACTCGCCTATATACAGTCACAAAAAAGCAACACAAAAAGAAATAAACGAAAAGAAGCCTCGAGAATTTGAACTCCATTGTGTAATATAACCTATTATTGCCGACACTACATTATGCGAATTATTCTATTATCGTTTTGTTTTACATTAAGCCATTACGTCTACTTTGACGTATGTACATAATTTATATATATGAACATGTATGTAATGGTGTGAGGGTGTATGTGTTTATGTATGTAAATGTACAGAGAGATAGGGGAAGGAGAGAACGTTGTACGTTGTTTGAATCAAGGTTCAATCCCACTGATGCCGTCTAGCCCACATTAGCCAGACGTAAAAAGCACATGTTCATAATGCTGTATAAGATTTTCCACAATTTAACTCCAGATTATCATATAGCTCCTTTTAGTCTCATTTGACAACGCTCCCTATCGTCAGAGTCCAGCCCCTAAGATGTTAGCATATGGACTTTTGCCCCCCAAAATCGATAAAAAATCTTCTTCTTTTTTAACGAAAAGCACATCCACCCCGACGTACGCTGACACTAGCTCTTTCATTGGAACCCTTATATTCCATTTACTTTTGAAAGTTCACCCACCGTAATTTGGTCAAAATAGGTCGCTAGCTTGCCATTGCCTATATAACACATGTGTAACAAGTCGAACTTTGGACGCAATTTACCACGCGATTGTAGGAGTATAGGTCAAGCGCATGAAGGATAAGAAGCATGAATTATCATAAATCAGTTCTAATCGGTTCATTTATGTCCATTTCAACCAACCCCCACCGTAATGTTTCCATTTAGTTAAGGCAAGCATTTTGCCAAGGTAAGCAAAAACATGAATATTCATGATCGCCATGGACTATTCGATTATTTACAGAGGGGTGCAATTGTGCACCACATCAAACTCCCCTTACTCTAGGTCAAGTATTTCATTGTATTATGTAGTTTGGTAGGTTTTTTTTTTTAATAACTGTTTAATTATCAGATATCAATGATAGTTTAAAGATATGGAAAAATGTTCTTGTATTTTATATTTAGCAAAGCAATCTCACATACAAATTCACTACCAACTGTCGTCTTATCCGCCGATTGCCGCCTGCTATATACGTCCAGCGAGCGAAAATGAGACAACCGGAGCAATATGTATGCAGAATAATCGCTTTTACAAAGAAACCAATTATGCCCGAAGAAATGTCGATAACTTATTCATGCCTAAACCTAAAACTAATTATTGTAAACGAACATTCTTTTATCGCGGATATAATTATATAATGAATTACCGATTAACTTACGTAGACCGAACACACTCAATCTATTTCGGCATGGCCTACATGAATGGATACTAGATTTTGATGTATAAACTTTTGGTGTGAACGGGGAGGGGGAAGGGATGGTAACAGTCGTATTCATAATGGGTTATAGCGGGTATTGGAGTGGGTTGTAGATAGTGCGTTTGTAATGGTATATTTTCGTAATATTTGTGTTTTATTTCTATCTTTAATTATATCTGGACCTCTAGGAAGAACATAGCCATTTTCATAATGGCTCTGAATAGAGCATTCCAGCCGTTTTTAATTCTTGATTTGTATTTTATTGTAAATGGTCTTCTTGTATATATTTGAATTTTTATACGGAAAATGAAACCAACCAACTGAGCAAGCATAAGGGAACTTACCAGCATGATAATGTATCGAGTGCCGTCTGGTTTGAGGGATTCCACAAACTCTCCTAAACCACCAAAGTTCTCTTCGTCAAGAGTGAAGTCAAGGTTGTGGTCCATGTAGTCAATGTCGCTGTACTGCGCATCCTGTAATGAAAGAGTGAAAAGAGTCAAGCTTGTGAAAGAATGGGAGTTTGGACTGATTATGTTTTCTTCTCCACTTTCAAGAAAAGGTTGAATATTATGGCAAAAACTGCCTGGAAGCAATTTTAAAAGATTGATTATAGAAGATGCGAGGATTAATATATACATGAAGTATTGAAGTGATAAGAATCAAAAGGAAATTATTTAATGTTGCTGAAAATCACATAGCCTACATACACTGCACACAGACATTGGTATTCAGGACTGCAAACTCGTATGGCACGAATATTTGGTCCAAACTTGTCAGCTATACGAATATGAGTGCTTATGAAGAGCAATCCTTTTTAGGGGGACATTTGTAAAAACCATTTATTTAAGAAAACACCTTTCTTTAAAAGATAATCATCTTTAAGTCATTAACTTTACTTGTTTTGGTCGACGAGAAAAACAAACAGTTCATTGCCATAGTCTAATTTTCACACATGTAATCTTTATGTGCCAGTCTAGCACAGCGCAAGAGTCACCTTAGTCCGGCAATGTATCTACATTGCTCTTCTTCACCCATGTGTTGAATGGGTAGCACGGTTGGATGCGAAATGCAACGTGATTGGATTCGCATTTGCGCACCCATAAACAAGGCTACTATTTGGAAGTGCAGAATATTAACGGAAGTACATGTATGCATCCGGGGTAATTATGACAAGATCTGGTCGGTTACGTAATAGTTGGTGAAGTGTTTGATGAATAGAAACTGTAATCATTTGCTAATGTTATGTCTTTTGTACATTATTTGTTTAAAATATCATTGCTAACACCTCTTTGCATAATATGCTGTATTATTCTAGTTGTAAACTGACCCCTTGAGCCTGTGCTGTTGGTCAGATTTATGCACCGATAGATCAACGAAACAAATGAATAAATAAGTGAATAAATGATTGTTGTTTTTTTATTATAATTATTATCATTATCAAACTAAATTTACTGTAAAATTAAATAACATTAAATATAAACAACTTACGTGAGGTATGTCGTATTCTCTCATACCTGCCACCACATCTTGTAGATTGGTGAGGTTATCGTAGCCGTATCTGCTGAGATGATAACCAAGAGCCCAGTAGGCGGGCAGCATAGGGCGACCAATCAACTAATTGGATTAGATGGAAATTAAGATTGAAATTCAGATAAAGGACTAAACTAATCAACTAAATTTAAAGTTTGATTAGAATAAAATTAATTAATTAAAGCTAGTTTAAATTAATTTTAAAGAGGCCTTCGTTCAATTTGTTCAGCTGTACAGTCATTTCCCAGCCCCCTCCACCTTCAAATATCCAGCTCTCTCTCTCTCTCTCTCTCCCTCTCCCCCCCTCTCTCTCTCTCTCTCTCTCTCTCTTTCTCTCTACATACCTACCTAACTAATCGTTCTGTCTCTCTCTCTCCTCTGTGTCCTCCTCTCACATCCCTTCCTTCCTTAAAAGTGTTTTTTCTTATTCATATTCCTCTTTCATTTTCATCTCGTACTCCTTCTTCGGCTACCGTCTTTATTTTTTATTTCTTCTTCTTCTTCTTCTTCTTCTTCTTCTTCTCCTTCTCCTTATTTTTCTTCTTCTTGATGTAAACTTTTATAACTATTTCAAATCGCCTACAAATTTCTTTTAAACAGTTACAAGAGAAAGTGATATATTACCTCGGTGTACTGTTGAATAACCTGGTCAGGTGTTGGTCCAAGAAACATATAAAAGTCCAGAACTCCACCGACTGTGCGATAAGTTAAGGCAGGGGTTGGCTGCACTGTGAAATCTGCGATAAAAGGGGATAAATAAAAATGTAAGATTTAGGTTTTCTGTTTACCTTTTATCAGATCAAGAGTCGGGGTTGCTGTGAAAATTCAAATTTTGCACCGACGTAATTGCATATAAACTCTATTCAGTAATAATTATATAGAAAGCACACTTCCTAAATAGTTTTGAATAGATTTTCGTTTGTCTCCCCTACCCCGGCGATGGCGAGTTTTCGCTACCGGCGACGCGGCCTTCTACAACGCACTCAGAGCGAAAATGTCCGTGTAGCGTCCAGGCACGTACATGTAGCCAGAGTTTGATATATGGGGGGGGGGGGGGAGGGGGCACATATATGTAATCGATCGACGTCCTGGGGAAGGGTCTAAAAAAAGTTCAACCGATCTTGGCTACGTGCCTGGTAGCGTCCAAACATACGACGGTATTCAGCCGTATTAGCGTCGGGAGTCGAGCTAGTACGGCGTGGCGAGCTCATTTACATACCCCGTAGTCAGCACTTGTGTCGCCATGCGAAAACTCGCTAATATTCTAAAAGCGCAACTTAAAATTGTATATACCCCTTCCTTAAAGTGGTGATAATATGTTGTACTAGCGTATTACATAATACATTCCAATGAGCTCAGTTACAATAATACTACTATACGACCAAGAACTATGATATTGTGGACTAAAATAGTTATATATATTATTTCTTTCTTTCTTTAACTCGTGTCCCCCCCCCCTCTCCCATCCCCACCCTTCCCGACACCTAGCTGGCTGCCGGGAATCTAGGATCGGCCCCCGTTCTAATTATAGGATTTCCCGGCCAAATTCGCGAGTTTGTCATTCGAATTCATTTACTTTGCATTTAAGATAGCGCAGATCAGCTTTGCCATGCCAATTATCATTAAATTTTTCCGATTTTGTATGTAATTTAGGATTTTGGTCGAAGGATTTCATAGATCTGTCATTCAATTTAGAAACTGCTCAACTAGCATTCAAATTAATCGTCACTTGTCGAGTCGTCATTTTTATCATTCAAATTAACACCTGTCATTCGTATTCGAATTATGTTTATTCAAGTTACGAATGTTAGGGGGAAGAAATGCAACACACGTTTACAGTTTTGAAAAATGCAATTAAATACATGATTTGCCATTGGGGTCTTTTCTGTTATGCAATTTATTAATTTTGAGGAAAAACCATATGTTTGTAGTTAGACATTAGGTAAAGAAGGGGTGAAATCAAGGGAAATGGCATCTTTGAATGAACATGTTAATATACCCCGGAAAAGTAGGGATACAAAAACACCTACCCCAGTCACAATATTATACCCTTCCATCATAATGAAATTGTGATAAATTTATGATGAAACACAAGACAAACAACTTCCTTACATGAAAATTTACACAAATATTGAGACCATCAAGTCCGTAGATGTAAGTCTTTTTTTTAAGCAATCAAATTTAAAGGCTGATGAATATCTGATAAATCTAAAAGCATATAAAGAGTATAAATGCAAGAAAATGACAAAGGATGAAATACACATGAAAAAAGATCTTGAAAGAAAAAGAATGAGCTATAAAATGATATAGAAATGTATATTGACCATTAATTTTAGTGCACAAAGTGCTAATTTGAATGCTACAAATGAATTAGAATGCTAGAAGTACGCCGTCGCGATGTCAGAAAATCGTGTTGCGCTAAATCGAATAACCAAATAGCGAAAGAAGCACTTTGTTCATTAATTTGAATGAAACATACATAGATTCTAACGAAAACTTCATAGATTTGAAATCTAGAAAAAGGAATATAAACCCGAGATATACCCGACAGCACTAAAACCGTCGAATTTGAACGCAAGACAAATTGATTTTACTGACAAACTCGCGAATTTGGCCGGGAAATCCTATATAAAAAGTGGTTTAGTGCACCATCGTTACTACATACCTTGTGCATTAAGGTTAAACAGCAGGACACCGTGTGTGTTACCGTCGTACTCCACGTTCATGTAGAAAGGATGGACGCTGTACAGGTTGATAGCGTCCTGCGTGCAATCAAAGAAAAACAGATTCCATCGAAATGATTAAATTGTAAGAAGCCATGTTTTCAATTCCAATTTTCCACAAACGAAACCCCAATTTTAACTGATGGTCCGATAGGTCGCCTCGTAGTGATAAGTGAAAAGCAATAATGACATGAATTGTTTTTACTGCATTCTGTTGGCAAATGTATTGTAAATTAATCCGCAGCTGTTCATAAAAAGAGTATTATGAATTCAGTTCATCACCTCACTTCTTCAACAGAATGAACAGTTGGTTTGGATACGTTGGCGTTTTCTTTTGTATTAGTGTTTGCCTTTATAAGCTAAAATGTCATTGGTGATTCCTCAACTGAAATGATGCATCGTGTACAACATATACTACTTACCCCAGGCGGTTGGTCCCTGGCAAAAAGACCCCAAGTCCGCCAATTCATGTCATGTCTAAAGCTTCGATGCTCACTCTCCCCGAAACCATACAGATTGGAAGAAGGCAAACGAGTTGAGATCGACAAAAATTGGTCTTCGAAAATTAGCGCTCCAATAGACGTATCCCACCTAGTTGAAGAAGAATGTGATATTGTTTTAATTTCTATGATTGATAAATATAGTGTCGAATACGAAATATCGGCTCAAAGCGCTTTCATAGGCCTATAATAACGGGTAATCAAATTCATTCACGCACAATATGTGTGCCCGTCAAGGCATAATTAAGAATTGCTGAATCTATGCAAAGAAAAATCCTTGTGAATCTTTTTAGTCTTAACGTTTTTCAATATTTACTATTCGTTTTATTCATTCTAAACATATCCTTATTATGGATAATGAGCTGATTAATTTGGAAGGTCAAGATGATAGAATATTATAGATTTAACTTCATCCTCCTGTTTGTACAAGATTCACAATTGCTTAAAAAGATGAGAGAGAAAGAACGATATATACTAACGATAGAGAGATATAATGAAAGAGAAACGGACACAGATATCTACAAGAGAGACAAAAAGATAGAGAGGAAGAGAGAGAGAGAGAGAGAGAGAGAGTGAGCGAGAAAGAAAGAAAGATGGAGAGAGAGAGAGAGAGAGAGAACAACAAAGGTAAACGGTATCGTGTGTGTGTTTGTGGGGGGGGGGGTCTGCACTGCACCATATGGCTCTATACTCCACCCAAAATTAGCCCGTGCGGTGCTCGCAAGAAGAACGCAGAACAACGTGCGTTCATTAAACAAAAAACGCTCTGACTCGAAGATTATTGGTCATATCGATAAAAAAATCACGTCTGCATGTTATGCGTGTCTTCCTAAAACGTGCAGACCCGTGCGTCCGACATAAGACTTTCCACGAAGGCCCACCGGGACTATGACTAAAAGTTGAGTTCTCTTCACATATTGGAATTTTAAATTTTAGATCTTCATGATTAAATAGCCTAAAATAGAGGTTTTATTAGCAGACTCCATTATTTGTTTCCTCAAACTGTTCTCCGAAGTTTATATTGCTCTCCAGCCCTCCTTATTTTACCATATTACACTCTTGTCTGGGGCAATACATATCCATCTAAAATAAATAAACGTTTTACACTACAAAAGAAGATAATAAGAATAGTGTTCAAACGACCAATCTAAAACTCATCTTCACTTTTTATTTTAAGTTTTGATTCTCTCAAAGTTTAAAGATATTGTAGCATACCAACACTTGGTCATGTGTGTGTATTCAATTGTCTCCCCGAACAATTTTTGTAATTTGTTTGATTTTAATCTTAATATAAATAGCTATCACACAAGGTGGGTGAGAAACATTCATTCCTAGACATCAGACAGTCTCGCCTCAACACACACACACAAAACACAGAGACTGAGACACGAGTGATTAAGAAAAAGGTGAGAGGAAACATAGACAGAGAGGGGAGTGGAGTAGGGGAGAGAAATAGACAGTAACTAATTGTATTGTAAGCCAAATACAGGGGAATGTGACTCGGATTCATCATCTTTGCCTTCGCCCCGCCAGCGTAATTTTTGTTCCCACTTGAGCTCGGGACCCCCAGTATGAACTCATTTGCATACAGCCAATCAGAGCTCATCTTGTCAATAACAAGCTTTACGCGTGCTAAAGATGCGCGGCGAAATTCAAAACTGTGCGAAGCTCTGGGCTTCACACGTACACACAGCGCCTTGCCTATATCAGCATGCATGGTGTGCGTGCATAGGCATAGGCTTGCAAATGTTTCATTTCAGCTCTAACATCTCTACATTTAGCAAATTTATCTACTAATATCAGCTTATCAAATTGCTGTGAAAAACTGTTATTTAGCACTAAGTTACAATTACTTTATCAATCAAGGATAGGCCTTTCTCGTCATCGAAGCCACTATATTATTATAAGGACAGATTTTACGGTTGAGAATTCATCATAGAACTTTACACCTCTAAAAGGCTCTAATATAATATCAGCTCAAGTGGAAAAAATTACTCGCCCCGCCAAAGCCTGTGAACCTCTTTTGTTCTCTGTATTAAAGGCTCGTTCAGATATAGCGCGGTAAACCACTGCGTTCTTCTAACTTTAATTGACAACTGCGCGCAACAGATGACTAGCGCATAAATTATGTTTACTGACCTCCGTGTTATAAGATACAGACATGCGCACACTATACACGATTGTTCTGCGATACGATTATCGAAGAAATGGCAACAGTTAGGAAATTTAAAAAAACTTCATCCTCCTGATTTAGAATCTTAATGATAAGAATACAGACAACAGGGATGTTAGTCTAATGAACTCTTCTAGTCAAAATAGAACTGAGTCGAATCGGCTTAAAGATCGTAGACAATCGCACTAACTGATCTGACGTCAGTACGATTCGAGACGATTTGGCTTTTCCTCTTCCAACAAAGCACACAATCTTTTGAGATTTAGATTTTCATAGTAATATGAATATTCTATCTTCTGTCATTAGGATTTTACATGTTTGAATTTTTTATGAAATTCTTACAAAAATCGGATCGCAGGAGGATCGTATAGTGTGCGAATGGCTTAACACTTCACGTCATTATAAATGAACCGCCGCTGGTTTGCCGCCTCATTAAAAAAAAACATGGACTATGATCATCTCATTACTGATTAATGATATTAATACGTTTCAATAACAATGGAAATAAATGTTGGAAAGGGCAATGTGTCCATTACATCTGCTGTATAAAAATATTCGCCTAGTTGCGTTGCCTAGCAACGTTCATAATTATGTAAGCTTTGATGTATTTGATGTTCACATAATGTTGGTGTCTAATAATAACGTTCTCGCATCTCCGTGACTACGCATAACATTTTATACATTAGGCTACATCAGCAGGGCCCCGTCTTACAAAGAGTTGCAATTAATCTAAATTAATCGCACGTTCTCCAATCGATCGCAACTTTGCAGTCTCCTATCTCTGATGTAAATAGTTGCGATTGATATCAATAGCAAATAATTTACGATTGCTATCAATTCTTTGTAAGACAGGGTCCTGGTCTCGTTGTCGCTTGTAACCGCAGTGAATATAAAACATTACTTGTAGCTATATTTAAAATTAATAACTAAAAGCTTTATTTCTTGAATAAATACTAGTTTAAATTTAATTTGTGTTTTTGTGAATTAGTTAAACACTGTAATTAGTTCTGACTTGTTACATTCTTAGCACGATTAACCTAATCGAAACCAAAAGAATGGCTTCACCCACAACAAAAAGTGAGTCATTTGACATATTTAAGCATAATTTTCGTGAGTCAGGTGTAAATTGACTCATTAGTAACAACCAATGAGTCTCTATTGACTCATTTATATTTCACCAGTGTGTCAATCATGAGCTGACGCATTTGCAAAATGCTTCGACTGACTCACATGGTCGTAAAAAATGAGTCAAGATCGACATAAGAGCATTTTAGAAGAAAAAAGTGAGTCAACTTGAAAGTGAGGCTGTATGCATGCGCGCGCATGCTTTCGTTACGTCATCCAAAATGCGCATTCTCGAGCCATATTTGAATTCCCGATCGACGACGCGACGTCGCCATCTTATATCTTGGATTCAGAAGAGTTTTGACTGCAGCTAGTGAAAAATTGGTACGCATAATTATTCATATGGTTTTAAACGATGCTTTTTATGACTGGATTCGTGGGCTTATTATACAAATGATGCATGCGTTCATTTTACGATATCCGCACTCGAGTTGATGAGGCTGTGTGTAACTTAACTATCATTATGAAAATGACTGACAATGAGAGCGGACAAAATATACAGTTCCTCAGGTAGACAAAGGAACATCCCTTCACTGCTATTATGTAAAAATGTGTAGAACAGGTGTCACATGCATATTCACCTTTTTACATAATAGCTGTGAAGGGATGTTCCTTTGTCTACCTGAGGAACTGTATATTTTGTCCGCTCTCATTGTCAGTCATGTTCATAGTGTATAGATTCTACTGTATCGCACGAAGCCGTGTCGAATGAAAACGTGCATGATCTTGCATCATTTTTTTATACAACGAAACTCCTAGATCCTTGTTATTTGATGAAAAACGAATCAATTCAAGATTGTTTCGTGACAGTATGGGTGACAAATAAATCTCAAGTTAAGGCTTAATTTAGTGCGTACAAAGTAGATTTTTCAGATTCGGGTAGCGGGACCACCGATTACATCGCTAAAATGTGATATTTTAGGATATATTTTCCATTGCAAATGTGGACAGTGACTCTGGCATGGTATGGTATGTGTGTGATAGGCCTAGGGAGTAGGGGGTCTATGTCATGATGCACCCACAACAAAAAGTGAGTCACCCTTACTCAAATTGATGAGTCACTGGTTTGTCCGTACAGCGAAACACTTGAAGGATCGTGTGAGTCACTATGACTCGATACAAATGAGTCTCTCAGATAAATAAGACTCATTTGTATCGAGTCATAGTGACTCACACGATCCTTCAAGTGTTTCACTGTACGGACAAACCAGTGACTCATCAATTTGAGTAAGGGTGACTCACTTTTTGTTGTGGGTGTTGGTTTGCAGAAATGTATTTGCTTCAATGAAAATTTGCTGTGTATAGAAGTCAAATTATCGTTGTTCTAAACATGCAATGTTTTTTTTTTGTATACCCGTGATTAAATACCATTATCATAATCACCTAATTCATAGACGTGTAATGTGATCAAATAGTGTGACAAAGGACAAACATTAACTTGTACTAACTGTGGGTGTAAGGGGGTGGTGCAATAGGGAGCATGGGGAACGTCTCTCCCCACCCCTCTTTATCAAATAAAGAGGAAAACGATGGAAAAGAAGGTGAGAGAATAGAAGACAGAAGGGTTAATATCAACTTAAGAAGATTGCACCCCTTGCACCCCTTAACCCCTTTGTTCTTGCCCGTTTGATGTACCTATTGACCCCACCCACCCCCTCTGGCGCTAGAGTTCCCTCAACGAAGGGGGGTATGTTAAGGCACTAACTATCACAATGAGCGCAAGGATCAAGTGTTGAATGTTATCGTAGGATATAAAATCTATTATCTATTTAATATGTAATGTACGTGCATAAAAATAAATATATATATATATTTTTTTAGTAAAATGTTTTCTTCTTGTCCCAATTGTTTCGTGTATTAACTAGCTGGAGCCATTTCTAATCGATCCCACTGCCCAGCAAACCTTTATGACGTATCTACACCTTGTTGTACGCAAAAGGTCTATTGGAATTAAACATCTTTTTCAAGTAGATGCTACAAGTAGATTCTGGAAGGATTTTCAAAACAAATGTGTTTGAAGTGGAATATTCACAAAAGAATACAAAATTTAGGTTTTCTGCGTACAACAGAAAACCCAAATTATGTACTCTTTTATCCTTATTTGTCTTCGAACACTTTTTTGGGGGTGAAATCTTTGCAGAAGTGTGTCTTAATGATATTGTTTTTCAAATTACGATACAATTTAAGTGAAATTTCGCCATCAAATTGTTGACAAACTTGGGGCTCCCAACACTTTAGAGGGGTTACAAGAAAGACGATTATCAGGTCACTATGTCCAGTTGATAAATGATTTGTGTATAAGTATGTTACTGTTTGAACTCCCTGTTAGTGTTATAGTTTTGAGTTGAAATACGAAGTAGCCCGATAGTTACAGATAGTATTTTATTGTGTGGGCTGTTTACTAGTCATTATTAGTATTAGCAACACATGGATTTATTCAAAGCATCGCTGCAATTGTCCTGTGTTGTTGATATTTGGTTTATATCCTACTTTCTATTTTTGCAACTCTTTGATTATGAAGACAGATATTCAAATACTTACAATACTTCTCCCGTTGATTTTCGGGTGATTTCCAGAGTGAAAGGGCGGGTAGTGTACGTGATGGTGTAGTCTGTGACTCTAGCTGCTTCGGCTGGGCGGGGCAGCAGCGGTATGGGAACTTCGAAGCGAGACTCTGAGGCGTCATAAAACTGAGTTCGGAATGAAAGGAAAGTAAACACATTACATTCAGAAACAGATTCACCTTCAGAGTCGTTTATTTTCCATTTCAAATGATCATGCTATAACCAAAATAAGTGCATGACAAAACGCACAACAGCGGCTCATTTCGGATGAGAAGTGGCCAGAATTACAAAAAAAACGTCGTCAGAACGGTGAATGGGATACTTTTGGAATTAGCGCAAATTTTACTCCTGAAAAGCAATTCTAACCTTCCCAACCAAAATTTGTATAAAATCCCCTCTTCATCCAGGGTACCTAACAATACCACAGCTAATAATTTTTGTCGATTTTTTTTCCCCATGATGTATCACGTGAAATCGACTAAACACTGGCGTCGCGTCGCCGAATCGAAACGATACCGGGTCAATTATACCAATGGAACTGCTAATTAAAAATGTATTCTTATTTTAATGAAGCAACAACCGTTTATACTTGTATAACAATAATTGGGAGGGGTGGCTTCGGAGGGTCATGCCCTTTAACTTGTGTGCTTACGATTTATGACAAGAGAATTTTGCATATAAAATATTGTTTGATTTGTTTTTAAATTTCATTTCATTCGTTCACTTTCGACTAAGTATATATGCTGACAAAATCTTAGTTGAGCGCTGCATCACGCTCCCCCACCCCCCTCTCAAGCCGAGTAACACACTTTAGATATATATATTTATATTTTGTAACTAATCCTTGATGATCCGCTTATTAAGCACTAGGCCTACTTACCTTGAAATGAAGTCTAGTCTGCGACTGGAATTCGATATCGAGTGAGAGAGTTTGGATGTCCTGGTTGAAGAAAGAAGCGATATACGTTTCCCTCTCCAGGGTCAACCTCGTCCCCCACGTGTGCTCCTCCTCCTTTACTAGCCGGTACGTGCCATGCCCCGTCGGAAAGAAGCACCAAGGCGCGCCGTCCACGATCGTCGGTCGCCACACGCACCCGCGGTCGGAGCAGAGCTCCTCGGCATTCTCCACGTCCTTATCGGGGATGCAGTTGATACGTTCCTCCACGCTAGCCTCCGTGGGGGCGGGCTCGAACGGGTTAACGCCGTCAATGCCCGCGTAGTCGGGATGGAGGAAGAACGTGAGGGTGGTACAGATCGTGGCCACGCAGGCGACGACGACGAGGGTTAGGGCGAGCACGTGTTGGTTGGTCCACCCCGTGGGCTTCTTCTCCTTCGTTAACGCGGAACGTTCAAAATCGTCTTCCTCCATGGTTGCTTGATGAGCGTCTGAATAATGTGATCATCGGATGCATCAAGGTAGGGATTGCACTATGATCACTGTCGGGGGGCGTCGTTTTAGAAAGAGGAGGTGTGAAACAACCCCTTTCATAACTGTTTCATCAGAACCAATTGTTGGCTCTTGTTATTATATTTATTAATTTATTCTCTATACGCATCAAACATTTAAAACTGTTTGGCCAATTCTTAAATCTGAGAATGTTTTCTTTAATCGTAGGGAAGTGGGTAAGGCCACCGAAAACCCCCTTCCCTTTCAAAATATTCGAGTGATGCCCCTAATCAGTCTGATGATAACAGCCTTACTATACGGCCTTTGATCTCTCTACATGACTATCGGCACAGGGCACATTCGACGAGCAAAAATTATTAACTACTAGTAATCGCCTTATCAAATCATAATGATAAGATTGTTGGTCTCTGACCTGCAATACAAGGCGGGGCGGGGGAAAATTTCGGGCGGGTGTTTACATTATTACTGAATGACGTAAAATAATGTTAATAAAACTGTTGAGGGAAAAATACAAAAAACAAAACAGCATGCCTGTCGTGACAAATTTGAAATTTTATGTTGCCTTTTGTAGTTAGTGACATGTTAATTTAATTACTCATTATTCCTAAGTATCATTTAAGGTGTTCACACTTGTACAAGCTTTGCTTTTGAGTGGACCCCTCTGTTACCAATGTGTATTTCTACATTTGTTGTAAATGTTTATAATTGATTTGTAATTTTTTGTTGGAAACATAAATAAATTGAAATTGAAATAGAGATTGTTGGGAAGCTTTAAAGATTTCTTTGTCAAACAGTTCGAGACAGGGACGTCAGTTGATGCCAATATATAATTCGTGATACCTCTACCCCCCCCCCCCCCAAAAAAAACACACACACACACACACAACATAGCACAGCACAATTTGGAATAGATCCCCCCCCCCCCCAAACTGCTGCTTCACTTTATAAACAGATTATCCCCATCATACTCATCCGAAATTTGAATGTAAGAGATTTCTTCTTGACCGATTCCCACCTTACTCTTGATCGAGGGTACATTCAGATAGTCTAATGAGTTTAATGGAAGTACAGGATGTTTTACTCCAGTGGATTCTCTTCAAATTTGTACCTCTTCCCATTCTCCCGTTTTTTAAATTAACCATGATAGACGAATGAATATGAAATAACAATCGTTATAGAAAAGACAATACGTTCATATCGGGCAATTAGACAAATAATACGATAACCCAATCTCTATCGGAAAAAGGTCGAAGTTTAGTCTGTTTCGACCATGCGTAACACTCGTGTCAATTGCTGATCAATAATTAAGTGAATATTTTTAGTATCATAGAAAATATGGATTTGTTGTTTGTACAAATCGGCCTAAATAGGTTGTTTCATCTTTAATGGATTATGTCAAATTTAAACACATGGTGGTTTTTTGAAGAAAAGAAAAAGAAAACAAAATGAAAAATCGGAGGATCATATCTTTATTGGGGTGGGAATTCTCTTCCCATTTAATGTTATTACTTTGAGTTAAAAGTGTGCTCATTGTACAGTTAATGTTTTAATTTTTTTCCTTCTCGTTCTTGTTGTTGCTGCTGACGCTCATAGTTCTAACCAAGTAATGTGATAAACAAATCGATTCATCCATGGGAACCTTCATGCACTCCACAAACGAAGATTGTAAAAATAATTTGAAAAAACATGTAGTTTAATATATTCTTGGACAATCGAAGTTATAGATAATACATCTGAATTTTAAAAAAAATCGTGTAGGCCTACCCTTATTGAATACAAACAAAATAAGGAAAAAGAAAATGTGCACAATTATATAATATATTTAACTTGGCTGCAATTCAATTCTCTCCTTTAAGTGTATCATAATTTCTGTGGCCATTACGTTTTTAGGACCCAAGTTCCCATATTTATCATTCTAGCTAATAACCTACAATGAGTACAACTTAATCGTCACATTATCCATGAATACAAAAATAAGAACGCAGAAAATACTTTGTAATAGTAATTCATTATAATATATTTCATGATGCTTGAATGCCTCAACTGAATACACATTACATACGATCAAACAGCATTATGCCTTGGTGCCAGCTTTACTTGATTTTAGGATAGCGCTTGATACTAACACTTCCTATAGACATAATTTAATGATGTGAAGAAAATTGATATCCACATGCCTCGTCTGTAATAAAATATTCATACACAAAAGTTGCAACTTGAATCTTGTATCACAAACTTAAAATAAACCATACAGTTATGTACATATAAAGCGCAAAGTCCATAACTAATTTATCACCGTGGTAACCCGGCATCGCTTCGCCTGCTGAATAAACCTCACAACTCCTAAGTGGTTTCTTTTTCTTTTTCTTTCTCTGAACTACTTTAGAAAATGTCAGTAATGATTATTTGTAGCCATGTTGATTTGAAATTCAACAAATAGCATTGTAAATAATAGCTAGAAGTTCCATAATGATAACATTTTGGGACCTCAGAGAAAAATACAATACATTTCACGTTGTCAGGCCAAACCTGATCAAATGTTTTCTTCAGCAACAGTGACTCCGGGTACGACGTCGTCAAATATATAGAGCGTTAGGGTTAGGCTTGCATGTCGGTCTTAAATGATAGTTTTAGGATCGGAGTTGGGTTGGGTCAAGAGTTTGGTCTGGGGTTCAATTCAATTTAATTCAATTCAAATGAACATTTATTTTCTTCCATTCAATTTGACAACATATTTGACATCTGTTCAAACAATACAATTTAAAAGTACGAACATAAATATCATTAAAGAACTTGTATTACAAGTAAGAAAGCGAAACCCGATACGCAGAGTTAAAGATATAATGTAGTTGGGGTTGCAGAGAGACAGCTGGGCATGCACCTTAAAACCTACCACTGAATTTACTTTGCTTTGTCTACACTCACAATAATTTTAAAACTAGATCATTGGAATAATAAGAGGTATTTATTTAGCGACTCCTGATATAAATATATGTAAGCATTGAATTCGTATCAACCATTCTTGATCTAAAGGATGGTAAGGGTGAACCCAAGATCCATGGCGTGGTTTAATCCGGTTACGTTGAGAGCCTGCAAGGGGTGGGTTAAAGAGGGAGACAAGTTCTTGGTTAGAATTAGATTTTCATAAATAGCTAGATATATCAATCATTTGGACGTCTTCGTTTTTGAAATATTTAGCAAGGGCTACTACATCAAATATCAAATGAGAATGCATGGACAGCAATAAATAGGCATTACGAATGCATGAGTAACGAGAATTACAGTAATAGAACGACAAAGAGCATTTAAATGTTCAGTTAATAAAGAATAGTGAATTGGTTAGATCACTATATAAAAATATATTGCGTTATCTATCTATCGCCCTCTCTCTCTCTCTCTTTCTTCCTCTGTTTCTCTCCCTCCTACCCTCCTTCCCCCCTCCTTCTCTCTCTCTCTCTCTCTCTCTCTTTTTTTCTTTCTCTGTTTCTCTCTCTCCTACCCTCCTTCCCCCTCTCTCTCTCTCTCTCTCTTTCTTTCTCTGTTTCTTTCTTTCTTTGTTTCTCCTACCCTCCTTTCCCCCTATCTCTCTCTCTCTCTCTCTCTTTCTATTTTTCTTGCTCTCTACGTCTTTCTTCCTCTCTCTTTTCTTTCTCTTTCCAACATCTGGCAGTAAACAACGCTTACATATCACAAGCTTCTATAGCGTCACGGGATCCCAGGTATTCTTCCAACTATCAAAACGCCGTTTTATTTGCTTCTATGTGTTTGTTTCATTTGTTTTGTTGTGCTTGTTTGTATTGTTTGATATGTTTTCCCTATAAGTTGCAAGGACAACGGCGCCTATAAACGTCATATTATCAACTTTCGAAATAGGACATGCATGTTTACTATCATTACGTTCATCATTATTATTAGTATTATTGTATTTATTATTTATTTAATTAATATTTTTCATCTTAATCATTATTATTGTTATCATCATTTTCTGTAATACTTCTATAAATCTTGATTGCCTAGTACAATAATAGATGTGTTATCCTTTACTTTGAAAATAGAATGCTCAAAAAAAGGAAATCTTACCATATTGACCTGATCAAACGTAAAGGTAGCTTCCGTGACTGCATTATAGTCGGTGAGTACAACACGAGAGGGCGCTTCATCCATGCCATAGATCATTACGTGGTCCATCACAAGATTGTCCATTAAGTTAGAATAAGAATGAGCGATCTCTGCCGTCAACATATTCTGAAATTGACCATTTTAAAATGTCTTGAATATAATACACATTTATATCTTTATTCCATTTACCTGTTACGAACCATTGCATTTTTATAAAGTCAAGATACAGATTATTTACATCTAATTTAGTTGTTGTTAGGTTAGACAGGCATTATGGATTGTCTCTCCTAGCAACGAGTAATGCAATTAATGGTGACAGGTGAATGGAAGGTAAATGGACGAGTTTGTAATGAGGCACTTAAAACACAGGCGATTACACTCATAGGTAAAAGGGGGCGAAAGGTGAGAACCACCAACTCTAGAGTTCAAAGTAAAGAGAATTAATTATAAAGCATTACTTGAGCCCCCTCCCTCTTTTCAGTTTAATCTCCAGATAATAACCAAATTCATGTAGCAAATACAAAAGTCGAGTTCTGAGAACTAGAAAAATAGTTGGTCCTAAGAATAGGACATCCCTCTCCGTCAGACATAGCAAAATTACCCGTCGTTGTACCTTTTATCCGTGTATATGTGGACATTGTGGACAGGGCGATAGTAAAAGTAAAATTGAACAGGATTTTGAAACAATCACATATGTGCCAAAACCAAATCACGAAACAGTTTCATGTCCAAATTCGTCAATGAATACCAAAATACCAAGATATGAAGATGTGTTATCGATGTTTACTCTTCAAGCTATGCAATATCCCTTTTTAATTTGTCTCTTTTCCCCAACGGAATTAATAAATGATTTTTAGAAACTCACATTTGTAAATGTATAGTGGAACATGTAATACTGCTCGTTCATGATGGTCCCTGCATGTCAAACAAAAAAAGAAAGAAAAGAAAGGAAAAGGGAAAGAAGAGTTTTAAATTGATTCAATGACATTACTGTAACGAAATGTTTTCCAAAATGAAGATGAAAAATACATGTTTCAAAGGTAATAATAGTACAATTTTACTTTCAAAGCGCATATTGAGGGAGCCAGGCGCCTTTGAATGCTTTTGCAGATAAATGGCGCTATACAAATGCTGTTCATCATCATCATCATCATATAACTGGAATGCAGATAAATATAACAGAAAAAAAAATAAACTGGTTGTGGTACACATTAAAGTTTATGCACTGATTTCCTTAACAAATAAGGAATTTATTAAGAATCCTTAGGACATCTTGTGTTAATTCTACATAATTTGTCTATGCTGCAAATAATATTGATTTCTTTTAACATCAGAATCATAATTCTGACACCATTAAACCATGGACCTACTACAATCCATGATCAAACTAAGTGCTCCAATCAATATGAAATTAACAGTTAATTTTTAAATATGTAGGTCTTGGGTGCCATCTGTCAATTGGATGTCAGCGAAATTGCACTTAAACATACTATTAAAAGGGAATTTCACTTGCACCCTTAGCAGATAATGCAACATTGTCTGCTAGCAGCAAAATGACAAAAAACTGTGGCCAACTCGCTGCAGCTGGGTCCTTTTTAATCTCATGATTATGTTTAATGAATAACGCATGATAAAAAACGCACAATGCGTAAAACAGAATGAGTAGTGCATTATGGATAATATGTATACCGAATAATATATAAATGCACAATGCATAATGCATAATACGTTATTAAGGTTCAACTCTGAGCTGTTACAAACACTTACCGATTGTTTCACCATCGTCCCAGAAGAGATCACCACCAGCCTCCATCTCGTTATCCAAGGCGACGATCAAACCAAACTCGTTCCTTCGACTGTATTAACAAGTGAGAATACATTTGCATAACATTTGAATATAGTGCGGAAAATACTATGCTCTTGAAATCACGTCAATTTCAAACAGTTTGATAGTGCTACAGATTAATCGGACGAATAAGTTATAAAGCAATGATCTGGTGGTAGTTGCTTCGTGGGACGTGGATAATATCCGAATTCTAGACTTCAAACCTTAAAACCCTAATCGTATCCCTAAACCTAACCCTTCACAAAATGGAAAGCCTAACCCTAAGCCTGGAGGGATTGTCACCGAAGTTATCGAACCGCAAGGGCAACCCCTTGTACAGTAATCGCATATCACAAACCAATTGTTATTGAGATGAGCTACCGAAGCCCTTTATCACCTTCAGAAATAACTCTCCATATTCCATGATGATATTTATACAAAAACTTCTGTTTTACAAAATATGGAAGATTCTCTTGTTCGAAAACGGCAATGGGTTTGTAGGTGCATCGCCCTATTGGGCACTTGCATACAGCCAGAAAAAAAATGTTATTGAATACACTATCGTCAAAACGTTGAAGCCTTCTTATATTAGAACAAATTTATTTTACTTTTATGGCACCTAATATTGTCTCAGCGGGTGGAAATAAATGGAAGCAAAGCGTCCTCATTTGGAAGTGCTTGGACAATAGCGACATAATGCTATTTTCGACGAAACCATGCAACCTACACAAATACCTGAACATGGTCGAGTTGTCCGGATTCTGGGTCGGAATGATGTGGCCGCCTCTTACGTGAAGGTTGATGTAGTCCATTGGAGCGTCTAGCATGACACCGCCACCAACGGCCAGCATGTCCGATGACAATTCCATGCCCTATTATTAATTAAATCAAAGTGATTAAGTGTTAATGGCAACGATCTTTCTTCAAACTGCAATGTGTTTAAATGAATGAGGTAGAATCGGCAGTGTTAACAGGAGTTATCATCGTTTGTTTCGGTATTTTCACGAAACTACCTTCCTTCGGCAGAATAATACCCTACAGTTGCCAATCTCCATCCTGGTGTTAAATGAGTACCCGTCAAGTTGAGAAAGCCATTGTTGATTGTGAGCATCATTCTGTAGAATGGCACCTGGTTGAAATAATCCCGGATGAGTGGAGATTGTGCATACATTGTGTGCGGGCTAGCATGAATCCGATGACCGGGGTAGTACTAATTATGTAAAGCGCTTATTGAGATCATATTCGCTTTTTTAAGAGTTGAATAATTTAAGAATGTTATTTTTATAATTTTTGGTAATATCTGTATCAAAAATCAATTTCCTTGTCCTCCCTTTTATTCTTATTCTTCAACTGCTTGCCCCCAAAATACTGATATTTGTTTTTAAAAAAATTGATTACCTTCAGCTGCATGCGATACAAACTTTCAGTTTAGATAACTTTGTAATTTCACCTTTCAAATCAATATAATTTTTAGAAGATATAAATTATTTGTGGTTAATAATGATTGTTCTTTTTCAGGTCCTATTTGTGTGTTGACTAAATTTCACTGATGGTTGCATATCATTATACTCACAGTATAGTAATCGTACCAGCGAGCAACGGGAAAGTATGCCTTCACACTTGTTGTTTCCTACATAAAAAGAAAATATAAGAAATTAAATAAACGTGTTAAGTACATATTGAATGCATGTAGGTAGAAGAGGGTTACATTGTCAACATGAGGTTTTGTGATGCTTGCAGTATACTAAGATATAACTCTCTAACGAATATCAGAAACGAAGGAAAGAGATTTAATGGGAAGAATTAGAGCAAAGAGAGAGAAAGACAAAGAGACAGAAGACACTGCTTTTTAACACAATATTCAAAAGTCGGGAAAACTCTTGTAATATATTTCGGTACTTTAGGGGCATAGTATGATTCCAGCCATTTAGGGGGGTACCGGTGACCTGGAAATTGGTCTATAAATGATGTGTGGGAGAGTAGGGCCATGTAGGTGTCGGAGGTTATTGGTGTCGGGAGGGGTAGGTGTGTGTCATCCTCCTTTCACGCTGCCTGCTCGATCTCTATCCCTCCCCCTCTCTCTCTCCCTCTCTCACTCAGTCTCTCTCTCGCTCTCTCTCTCTCTCTCTCTCTCTCTCATTTTCTTCTACTCGGTGGGGGTACGTGACCCCATGTTCACTGTAGCTACGCCGCTGACAAAAGAAAGCCTTTCTGATTGACTTACTGGTTCTAAGACGGGCGAAATGAGAAGGGCAGGACCCCACAAGAACTGCCTGTCAATATCCCATGTGTTGCTATCAGAAGTAAACCTGAAGAAGAAACCAAAGCATGTAATATAGTCAGGGACGCAACTAGAACATTTCAGTATGAAGGGGCATGGGCAATATATGATCATTGGCTAGAGCAAACTGAATGAACAGTTTTGCTGACAGAACGCATAATTTTAATTCCAGAGGAAATGGGAAGAAAACAAATCCTAAATTGTAGATGAATGTCTTGCCAAAGGGAATTAGTGCCGCGAAAGGGATTCGTAACCTGTGCCATGAGCTCCACAGTCCTCTAGTTTATTCGCTGGACCACGACACCGGCATGACACTTCCTCCGTATACAAAAGGCATGAAAGATGTAGGTTCGTCTACTTGGTCTAGCTGTTCTGTCCCTGCTACGGAAAGCTCTTAATCTAAGCCTACAAACTGACTCCAGTCGGGTCCAGGTTCGAATCTGAGTCACGTCTTTTCGGATGGTGACGTTCAAGGTCGGTCACAGACGTAATTAAACATACCCAATTGATCCACGTCTATGAATTTCCAATCATCATGATCCTACACACGCTTAAAAACTGGACCACCTAATTCTGAGCAGACGGTTTGAACATGGACTTACTAGACAGTCCATGGTTTGAAGGTCCATTTTGTTCCGTTCAGTCAACACATTCTTTAGCAATTTATTGATGGCACGATTGATCAACCGCGAAAACCAAAGGCACGGTCGTGCTTAGCTTAGTTTTTCTGGGCCCACAAGGGTAAAAGGAATTAATGAATATAAACGGAGAAAGTACTCACTCGTGCATCATAGGTCTGACTACCGTTGAGCCCTTAGTATGGGCGTGGTAGAAGAGTGTGTAGAGGTACGGGAGGAGACGGTATCTGATGTGAAGCACGTCGCGAACCTCAATGGCGAAATCCTCTCCGAAATGAGCAGGATGTTGTGGCTGTAATAATTGTGAAAAAACGAATATTGGTGAACAATAAGGGTTTACCTATCACATGTTTGGACTCCCTACACATCAAATGCAGATCTAGCAGGGGCTTAGGGGCTTTAGCCCTCCCCATCCATTAAAAAGGAAATCAGGAGGAACATGTAGAAATAAGTGAAGCCTCGGTCCCAAATGCCATTACGAACAGCTACGAACGTCGTACGAACGATTTTCAGATAACGGAAATTCGGGAAGACAATGGAAAAACAGGGAGATTCGTACGAACGTATCGTACGAACCTTTTTGACCGCAGCTTTTAAGCCTCGTTCACAAATGCCCTTACGAACTGCTACGAACGCGTACAAACGATTTACAGACAATGGAAATTCGGGAAGACAATGGAAACGCAGGGAGATTCGTGCGAAATTATCCTTCGTACGAACCTTTGTGACCGTAGCATAAGGAGAGACCTAAAATCCAGACTTACCATGTTGCCTAGACCATTATGATTCCTAGAGTAGGGATAGAAGGCTCCAACCTGATGCCATCGACGACAAAGATCCTCGTTAGTGTCGTCGAAGAAACCGCAGATATCAGCACCAATCTGTCTCATGGACAAAGATTTGGGTTAAAAAATACACATTGAATGATAATGTACTAAAAATGTATAATTAATAATGTTACAATATGTAATGAATCTACCTCAAATGCATTCTTACCATCATTATTTGCTAATGCTAAACATTTTGCAGCTGAATTAAAATATAAAAAAACAGAATATAAAAACATTAAATTTTGAAATAAATAGAAACGTGTACTGTTCAAAGCTAATAACACACAGTATAAACGAAAGGCAAACATATACTATTATCTTTCCCACAGAGTTTTGATTTGGCCCAAATCGTTTGAGTTTATTTCAGTTTGTTATTTAAGGAATCATATTTTTTTTAAAGTCTGCATTAGGCACGTTACATTATCAATAGCGTAATGCAAGTTTTAAAAATATATCATAAATAAGTATAGTCATCCCAATGAGCATGATGAGTTTCACGTTGGTATATGTTTAGCCAGAAATCATTTTTATCTTCTCAGTTCATTATTAACACTTTTTTAATATAGAAAATGTTGATACAAGTTTGTTTACTTACATATGGAATACCAAACAAGTTGAACTCCAGCATACCTGGAATAAAGATAGGAGTAAGAGGGAGGAGGAAAAATACTCTGAAACTCAAATGTTACCACGTTTATAGTTTGTTTAATTAAGTTATGAAGTACAACCGCCCTTGAATAGTTTAATTCTTCGGATTTTATGTATGCATGGATTTCTATTTGCATTGTAGACGACAGAAAGACACCGTTTAAACTAAAACACGAATCTTGGATAAACGGAACACAATCATTTTATAGTTTGCAGAGAATTCTCCTCCGCTTCATAGAATGTGACGAGATAATCACGAAAGGAGTTTTTATCAAATATACTTCGCATTCCGAATACACTGGATCTTAACAGAGTGCTGATAACGTTCTTTAATTCATGTCAAAGATCAAGTCATCGTCTTTCATATGATACCAAATCTGTTGATAGTGGTATTCCCATTCATGAATGAATTTAACAGATTTTAAGTGATCGGTGTCAAACATAGTTTGTGATTTGATGTGATGCAATTGGTAGTTTCGTTTATATAGTAAAATGCGAAGAAACAAAATAAAACTGTTTACCGATGATGGAAGCTTCGTCTCCTAGAACCAGTGGCCGTTATATTTGTTAATTTGTCATAATTATTGTTTTGTGTTTGTTTGTTTCGTTTATTGTTTGTTAGATGGTTCGTCTATTTGTTTGTCTTTCCGTCTGTGTATTTACCTATAATGGAGTAATAAAGATGAGGCCAGATCGAAGCATTGTCTCCTAACCAATGACCCTTATAATTGATAATTTGTTATGACTGTTGTTTTATGTTTGTTTGTTTCGTTTATTGTTTGTTTGGCTGTTCGTCTATCTGTCTGTCTGTCTGTCTGTTTATGTATTTACCAATGATGGAGTAATAGAGATGAGGCCAGATCGAAGCATTGTCTCCTAACCAATGACCGGTATGTTTGCCGCTGCTAGGAAAGGTTGATCGTGAGATGACAAGACTCCTCTGTTCCGTAGCCTCTTGTGCCGCTCTGGTGATAAATCGGAGGGAAAAAGGGGGTGAAGAAATTGAATTTTCTTGAGAAATATGTACACTAGTATTCAATAGGCTTTCAATCTCCAATCCATTGGCCATAATCGTGATGATATCAAGATTAATAGGGCTGCACGTCTTTGGAGAATATTCTATTCAACTTGAAATTCCATGAAAATAGACTTTAATTAAACAGTTGAAATGACCTTATGCTTAATATTTTTCCCATTATGTATATGATTCTATACCTAGATTAGATTAATGGTCCTACAGTGAGACAATAAATGCATTAAAACCAATAAATGTGGTTGTCATTGACATAGCGCCTTGGAGGGTGGCGTAGCCCTTAGGGTTAAGCGCCCCCACTCCCAAGCTTCACAAAAATGTTGTAAACTTACTGTAGCGTCGGCTCCGTCTGACTCCATCCGTAGAGGCTGTGCATGTTGTAATGGGTGTCCTTCATGCCGTATGTCACGTGCTGTACGGAATTCATGCAGATTGTTTTGTCGTATATCGTTGGTCCCCAGATTTCTAGATTAGCATGAATGAAATAATAATAATAATAATAATGTTTAATTTTTATATAGCGCTTAATACAAATGTCTCTAAGCGCTTTACAAATATATACTATTACCCCGGTCATTGGATTCAGTGCACAATCTCCACTCCCTGGGGAGCATTCCAGCCGGGCGTTACTTGACGCTCACAAGCTGTTTGACCAACAATGACGGTCGCATCCTACCGGGTACCCATTTAACACCTGGGTGGAAACACATCATGACAAATATCTGTATATCACCCCCTCTAGGAATCTACAATCAGCGTATCTGATTTAATCAATCGCAATATACTGTATAGTTTAGTTTTTGTATAGAGAGTAATTTTGGCCCGGGAGTTTGGGTCAAACTGAATTTTAGTTACCAAAATCGGCACCATTACATTACAAACTTATAGTTATAACTGCACCATGCTCGACAAGTATACACAAATTACAAGCGACTTCGTAATAAACCTGTTAACAATCAAAAGAGTCTTTAAACCACGGGAATTCTCTAAAAAGTAATTGGTTTCCACCATCTTTTTAATGATACAACTGTGCATGTTATTTTTTGGTAAACTAATGAGTAAATAGAGAGATCATCAACAACTATTTAAAAAAAAACTGTTTGCAGGGTGGAAGCATTTTGTTGTCTTTCAACGGCTGGTTCAGAACTATCGAATATTTGTAGGGTCACACCTTTTTTGAAATTGTTATATTTATGTACTGTATATTTCAGCCGTCTCTGAACCGAATTTGATCAAACAAAAAAGAATTTGTCATTTAAACTGTAAGCTCTTTAAATTTGACATTCAGTTTTGCATTATCTCACAGACTTATTTATTCTATGTAGCGCCCTCTATACCAAAACTCAACCATCCCTTTAACTTACAATTGCTTTTGTGTTACATAAAGTGGTATGCATGGTAATAAAGATAGGACTAATCATTGTAGCACGATTGGGAATACAACAGATTTCCACGATTGATTGTAAATCGATTTTTGTTTTTGGTTAAAAGGCACAGATTTAGTCCCCGTCTTTATCAGCTATTTTCATCAACCTTACCATTTTCATAGATCTTACTTACGAGGCATGAAAGGTGGATTGTCGTAGGTGTTCTCTGTGCATCCGTCAACCGAACCATGTACAAAGCTTGCTGGTTCGTTCATATCCTGAAATGCAAGATGAGAGAGAAAATATACATAGATGATTTGATGTGGAGTTTTATTTAAATGGTTATTTAAGACGGAATGTAGATTTTGGATTTGATCTAGACGGTGAAGTTGTTTATAATATTATGTTTAGATTAGATTATTGTTAAATGTTGAAACGGTGTTATACGTGTTGGAAATTTACGTCCGTTTTCTTAATAGGCTTCCAAACTGAATGGAATAGGATGACAAACCTTGCAAATTTAATTGTTATATTTAAAGGAACTCAACATAGTCTTTAAGATTGGAAGAAAGAAGGAGGCGCGATGCCTCAGCGGTAGAGCAGTGGTCCCGTCACCGGGAGGTCCCGGGTTCGAGACAACACCCAGACGTTTGTGCCCTTTAATAATGCATTTTTAAGTTCGTCTGCGAGGACTTACATCCGCCGGTCCACTGGTTACTTACTGACAGACATACACATGTTTTTTTTAGCAGTTTGGTAAAACCAAATGACCAACTAAAGTTCACACTTACGATCCAGATACCGTCAAATGCAACCCTGTCGTGGAACATATCCACCTCATTTTTCCACCAGTCCTGGGCAGATTGCTTCCTAAAATCAGGAAAAGCAGCATAAGCACGGAATTGCTAGCAAATACAAAATGACAAAGAAAAAAAATCAGACGCAGAAACATCAAAGATTCCTTTGTCTGTAATACAATATCACTTGAACATTAGGATCATATCTATTGCTTGCCACTTTTAATTAATGGTTGCTACTATTTCAGAGACATCAAGAAGCCAGCGAGGCGT